AGGATCAGCATTTCAAACATCCCATCATTAAGTTGCCACCAAGAATTTACTCTGTTGACGCCACAACAGGACAAACCATTAAGTGATCAAACTCAATCAAATGACTGGCAGGAACTTGAACAATTTATTTATTATGATCAAAGTGGGCAGACAACAGGTGCAGGGAAAGCACAGACTCCAATGGACCAAATCAGAAGAGCTGCACAGCCAACACCAGTAACAGCTGGTAGCAGTTACCACTGATTTGCCACTTTCAAGCCTTTTGCCCTGCTCTTAGTTGGCTGCATCTGCCTTATGAAGGTCCCCACACTTTACCTAGATACAGTATTTTGGGGACAAATCCAGTCAGAACAAAGTTTTAAGCCTACGGGACATATTTGCCAGTGACTGTGACTTTATTTTTCACAATCATCTTTCAGCCAAGAAGAGGAAAATTTAACGATCACTCCACCCAATTGCTATCATCCATTCTTCTGGGTATATACTTGAGCACAAAGGGTTGGCTTGCCTGAACTCTTGTTCAGGATGTTTATTATTCTTTCTCTTACTCCAAGCCTTCTGCCAAGTAGCAGAAATAAAAACTCCACACACAGTGGGGAAGGTGTGGGGAGGGTGCCACAGCTGTCAGTTGAGACCACTAGGAAAATCAAACTTAGGTGAGGTTCTTTCCAGCCCAGTGGCTTCCAACCCTATCCTTATATGTTGCTCCCTGGGAGCTGGTTTCTTTGTGCCAGGGGACTAGACAAGTCTCTTCCATCCTCAAGCTGAAGTCAGTGACATGTGAGCCCATCCAATAATTCTGAGCATAGACAGATCTTAACTTAAACCACTGGGGTGAAGGTGTTTTCCTCAGAAAAGAATTTGCCAGGGGGCATTTTTATTTACTGTCCCCACACTTATCTGTAGCAACAAGAAGCCTGGATAAAACCATTACTTAGGCTGCTTAGTCTCCAGTTCTGTAGGAGGTGCTGGGGCATTTCCTTAGTCAGCTTGGATGCCCTCACACCCCAGACAAGGGAGCCAAACATGTCCGACAGCACAGGTCGGTACGAAGGAACCCTTTGCTAAGTAAGAGTACTTTCAGAGCAAGAGGGGCCCTGGCACAGCTACAGATGCTCTCTTATAAGGTCAAAGTCACTAAAGGAAAAGGCCGAAAGTTCTGCTGTAGCCAGTACTTCCACTGATCCCACTTCCCATGTGCCCATAAACCCATTCTCTCCTCAGACCTGAGGAATCACCATGAATCCTCCTTTCCCTCTGCGGTGTGTAAGAGATTCAAGGCCAGAGCCACAGGCTTAGGAAAACAGCTAATGGAAACCTTCCACTTACTTCTCATTGCACCGATAAGCGCGTTGCCGTCTTTGATCACGTCTTTGATGAATTTATTAGTCCTCTCCAGCTCCTGTTCATAACACTTGAGCCTCTCGCGGAAATCAGGGCTGTCCAAATAGCAGTCGCTGAACTCCAACGGGGGATGCCCCATGGTTCTGATGGCGGTAGGTTGGAGGAAGAAAGGAAAGACACAAAGACCAAGAGCATCAGTGGCACTCTAGGGGGAGTAGAAGGGATGGACCGAGTGCAGGTCCAGCTGAAGAAGCTCGGAACCCCCCGCCCTTTGGAGGACAAGTACCTATTCGGAAGAGATTCCTGGGGAGAGCTGGTTGGTCTGCACCGGAAACGGGTGGCCCAGCGATGGCTTCAGTGGCAGGAAGGGCGAACAAACGCGGTAGAATCCCTGCGGGGTGCTGCCTAGCAAGCAGCATGCCCCCTAGGCATCGTCTCCTTTGGCCAGCAGCAGAAACCGTGGCACAGCCAGCCTCCGGAGATCCGTAGAACCCCTCCTGAGCTATTGCAAAAGTAACACTTCGCCCGCCCAGAGTGTGGGCGGAGGTGAACGCCAATCAGGGCCGCCTCCCCTGCGCTCCCGGCTCCCGAGCTTGCCCAAGATTTCCTTTGCCCAGCTCGCCGGCCACCCTGACTGCACCGTCCCCTCCCCCTTCTTAAAGCCAGCGCTTCTGCCCAGCGGATCCCATAACGCCCAGCCCGAGCGCCCCGGCTCCTTCCTCAGCCGCCTGCTTTAACGCTCGAGTTTCGTTACCAGAGTCCCGCGGCTCCCAGGACTTCTTCCTGGCCGGAGGAGCGGGCCTAGTGGCCTGTTAGGCGCCGGAAGGGTTAAGACCCGAGGGCGCTGAAACGTCGCCTTCCCCCTTAGACAACCCAGCGGGAAGAAAAGGGCGAGAGCGCGACGCACAATAGTTGTGGTAGCCTAACGTTTCCCTGCGGAAACTGGGGAGCAATCAGCGCCCTAGGACTCCATCTGGAAAGCGTGGCGGCCTGGGAGATGTAGTCTTTCTGCTTTCATGCCCCATGACTCCTCCCTGTGATCGCCCCACTATGCCGCCGGGCCTGCCGTTCCCAGAAAGGCAGCACCGTCTGGCCCAGGCTTACCTCCAGGGGGCAGGTGCGCCACGCTGGACTCTGCATGGAAATTTTCCCAACACTGGAGCTAGGAGGAAGGAAATGAGTGGAGGATGCCCTCTCTCACTTTCATTACTCGGCCGGATTGTTTATTCTTTTTCCTTCCTCTTTATCAGCCTCCCTCTGACCCACTGACTTCTTTTCCTCTTCATGCTCCATTTCTCCTAACGCTCTAATTCTCCTAGGCCTGAAGGACTGACTCCAACAAATAGTTTAGGATCTATATGTTGGTGTTGGAACCCTTTTCCAAAGACAGGGAGAGGTAATTTGGGGTTCACTTTTCTCTAATAGGACCTCAGGGCATGGTATTTTTGTAATGTAACTCATTGCCCAGGCCATTAATGAAAGCACATGATTTTCCACGTTTCAGCGGAAAATCCAAAAAGAGGATGTTACCAATTGTCTTGCAGCTTACCTAAGAGGCCTCTTATCCATTATCCACTGTAGGTGGACTGGGTCTACTCTTACTGGCAGCTGCCCTGGAAGGAAGAATAGACACTGGGTAAACTGAAAAAGTGTGTACATAGGCAAACAATCCTTTTGGATTTTGGAGAAGTGTTTATACTGCCCTGTGATGAAAGCCCAAGAGGAGCCAGAACTGAAGGGGATTGTAAATAGAGTGATGATGTCTAACCAAGCTGTATTTCTGCCCTATTTCTGCTGTAACAAATGTCCACAAACTTGGTGATTTAAAGTAACCCAAATTTATTATCTTACAGTTCTGGAGGTCACACATCAGAAATGGGCCTCACTGAGCCAAAGTCAAGATGTCACCAGGCCTGTGTTCCTTTCTTGAGTCTCTAGGAAAGAATCTACTTCTTTATGTTTTCCTGCTTCTAGAAGCCATTCACATCAAAGCATTGCACAGGCCACTGATGAAAGCATATGATTTTCCATGTTTCAGGGGAAAACTTAAAAAGAGGGTGTTATTCTTTGCCTTGCAGCTTACCTTAGAAGCTTCTTGTCCATTATCCATTGTAGGAACCTTCAAAGACCCTAATGGTAGATGCTTTTCTCTCACTGTACCACTCTGACACTAATTCTCCTGTCTTTCACTTCTAAGGAACTACTGAATAACCCAGGATAATCTCTCTATATCAAGATCCTTAAATCATATCTGCAAAGTCCCTTTTGACATGTGTGGTAACATGTTCACATGTTCCAGGGCTTAGGAGAGGAACATCTTGAGATCATTCTTCTACCTTACCACAGGACCTATAATCAGGTTAGTTTCTTTATTACACCCATTTAAAGATGAGATAGCCGAGTCACAGAAGGTTAAATGACTTGTCTTTACACACAGCCAGTTAGGTGTCAGTGCTTGAGCTTGAGCCTAACATCCTCTGAAAATTAATACCTTCCCAATAAACAGGGAAGGATCTTATTTCTTGCTCTTTTTCCTTTATCTCTTTATATTTCCTTTGTCTTTATTTCCTAATCTTTTGTTTTATGAGACTATGTTCAAAATGGGCTTTAAAACCACCCATGTAGGTACCAAAGTGGCCAATTAATTGGTTTATGGTCCTTCATAACAAGTGTCCCAATACCATTCATTCACTCATTCAACAAGCGTTTATTGAACACCTGTTATATGTCTGGACTTGTAGCGCCTACACTTGTATTTTCATCACTGTGAACATTACCATTGACATTACTGATGTCAGTTACAAATCATGTTTTTTTTTTAACTTCCTATACTCAGTGCTTTACAGTTGTCTGTTATTTTTTTACACAATGAAACTAAAATACCAAGGAAAACAAATTCCCTTGGCCAAATAGCAAAGAAGAAAAAGGGTTTAATATTAAAACTTAGTCTTTTAGGTAATTGCTGCATTAATTTTACCGTAAATGCTTTGCACACATTGTACTTAACCCTGAAGAACCCCATAGGATTTAGATCTTTAAATTTTTATTCCTATTGCTCCTAAAAGAATTCATAATTCTCAAAAAGCTACAATCTCTCACTTTTTTATTTGTTTTCAAGTACTGATTGATTTTATTACACACTAAGGTTAATTGACAGGCTTCTGGAGCTTATCTGGCTAATGATGAACAGCTGCAATAGATTGCACTCCCCTCGCTTTCATCCCCATCATCTTGACTGAGCAGCACCCAAACAAACACTCACACAATCGGACAGTCATGATAAGTGCTCAAACATATTAGCTGTTGTTTTTCCTCTCACACATTTTTAATTGTATTATTTTGTATTGAGGTGACAAAGTTATAAAACACTGTAGATGATTGTAGGGGCAGGAAGGGTCACAGTGCAGGCTTTCTGATCCAGCACACTGGGTAAAGGAGTCCTGGAACCCTCAGTGGCTTTTGCAGGCTTTTATTGGGATTCTCCAGGCATATGGCAGGCAGGGGTGCTGGGGGGCCGGGAGGCTGGCAGTCCTCCCAGCCCCCAGCAAGTCTTCACTCTATCTGGGCTCTCCGGCTTTCTTTCTGCTTCTTTGCTGCTTCTTTCTTGGCTTCCCTTCTTCTGCTGGCATCCCCGTGATGCCATCCTTAAAACCCCAGTCTCAGCCCAGGTGAATCCCATCTACATATGCTCACACCCTACTCCAGGTGCCCGCCATCAGGCATGCATTCAGGACCGTCATCTATCCTAATGGCAGGAGGGCAGAAAAGCCTGATACTTTTTACCTTACTCTACAATCCACCACCTCAGGGTTTTCTGCCAGACAGTCTATACAAGTCATATACATTTCTCTTCGCAAATATGAACACTGCAGCCATGGACAACAAAAGTAAAACAGTATACATCACAATAAAACAATATAACAAAATACAACAGAACAAAATAAGTCCAGGCAGGGCACCAACCTAGTGGCAAAAGGCAATTATTGGCTGTAGGGTAAAGAAAATATCAGGCTTTTCTGCCCTTCTGCCATCAGGATGGATGATGGATCCTTGTCCTGAATGCATGCCTGATGGCGGGCACCTGGAATAGGGTGTGGGCATAGGTATATGGGATTCAGCTGAGCTAAGACTGTGCTTTTAAGGGCGGCGTCACGGGGACGCCAGCAGCAGCAGTAGCAGCAGAAGCCGAAAGAGAAGCCGAGAAGCAGCAGAACGAACGCTAGAGAGCCCAGATAGAGTGAAGACTTGCTGGGGGCTGGGAGGCCTGCCAGCCCCCCAGCCAGCACCACTGCCTGCCATATGCCTGGTGAACCCCAAATAAAAAACCTGCAAAACTACTGAGGACTCTGACTCCTCCTTTACCTGGTCTGCATGGGATCAGAGAACCTGCACTGTGACCTTCTTGCCCCTACATTGGCACCACAAGATAATCCACCAAATCTGCTGCAGAAGGCACTGCTCATGCGAGGGAGGGGAACCACTCACGGCATCTACCGTCAGACACTGGGAGCCGTCAGGCTTCCTGGCCTTCTCTGGCTGTGGTCTCAGCCACACACGGCATCTACCCCAATATGCATTCACTCTGGGATTGGCGATTCTATACTGTTGGGGGCAATCGCCAACCCTCAGGGTTTCTGTCTGCAGTTGCTCCAACACTCGGCTTTCATAGCCACCAATGTAACACACAGACCCCTGCACTCAGGCCAACTCATTGCACAAGGACATGGGTCGAGGATCCAAACTCCACATGCGGCCTCTCTTGGGTCCCCTCTTCGGCTTGGGCTCTACCCCAAGCCACGTTCCCCACCCGTCCCCCAAGGACGGGTTCCTCAGATCCTCACCCTCACTCGAGAACGAGCAGGGCATCACCCACAGGTGATTTTACGAGACTCACTGGCCTTCCTCAGCTTACTTAGTGCTTAACAGCCACTCAGGGCTTCCCAAACTTAGCATCAGTACCAGCTTTTGCCTTCTCAGTTGGCTTTTCTCCTCAGCCTAGCTGCTGGGCATACACAGGGTGCTTTTGGCCACCAAGGCACACTGGCCACCCCCAGATTCCCATCTCCAGGGGTTTACAAACGAAACTGTTCCACCCCCAGGATCCCAAAACATATCAACCTGCAATGTCCACCACCTTCTGGCAGGATTGTCAGTCCAACTCCATTTGTCCAAGTCCATCAGTCCCAAGTCCATAGGCTTCTTCCTTGGGTCAGCACTGTCGAGCTTTGAATTGTGGTCCTCTTTCATTCCCCAATGATTATGCTGCCTCGGCGGTCTTGGGCTGGTCCTCTCGGGTGTCTCCTGCAGGCGAGGTCTCATCCCACAGCTCCAGTACCTTGTCCACCTCCTGTGCTGCCATGACGCCTCCAGTGCTGTCACAGGCTCAGTCTGCTACTCCTAAGGTCTTCGGAGGGCTCCATGCCCATCTGCATGGATCATCTTGCCGACTTATGCCAATTGTAAGGGCAGGAATGGACACTGAGCAGGTTTTCTGATCTAGCAGACTGGGTAAAGGAGGAGTCAGAGTCCTCAGTGGCTTTTGCAGGTTTTTTATTTAGGTTACCAGGTACATGGCAGGCAGGGGGGCTGGCAGGCTGGCAGGCTTCCTGGCCTTCTCTGCATGCCAGCCCCCAGCAAGTCTTCACTCTGGAAGCCTGCCAGCCTCCCAGCCCCCAGCAAGTCTTCACTCTGGACTCTCTGACCTTCTTTCACATTCTCTCTGCTTTCCTGCTTCTCCTTCTTTCTCTGCTTCTTCTGCTCGCGTCCCTGTGATGCTGCCCCCATAAACTCTGTCTCAGCCCAGGTGAATCCCATCTACATATGCCCACACCCCTACTCCAGGTGCCCGCCATCAGGCATGCATTCAGGACCGCAGGGTTTCGTCATCTATCCTAATGGCAGGAGGGCAGAAAAGTTTGATACTTTTTACCTTACCCTACAATGATTTAGGGGTAAAGGTTCACACATATTCACATATATGTTACTACACCACACCCACCACCAAAACACCAAAAATTCACCACCACGACCCACTTAGCCTCCACCCTCCTTTGTG